CTGGCCTATAATCTCTCGCACTACAATACTGAATGTTGGGTTATTACATCCTTCAGACCTCCCCCCTTTCCCCCAACCCCTCCTCCACACTGTATAAAACACCTTGAGCATTGCAATCACTTTATTTCCTCTTGTGTTCTTGAGGATATCCTCGAAATACACCCAGAGTTTGCCAGGGCAGGCTACTGATCACATGGCCCTGTATAACTAACCATTCTATGTGATGGGGATTTTTAGCATCACGTAGCTAAACACACTTGACACACACTGTACTCGTTTTTTTCATTATCTAGGCCTAGGGCAGCTGCACAAATGCAGATGTATATAAATGTGTTAAAAAAATAACTCATGTCAGTCTCATAATGAGTACAAGATAGCTGTTTATTGATTCTAAGATGAGTATATGACTAAGACACCTGCCTGATACTCACCAGGCCCCAGAGTATCAGGCAGCTATTTATACAGTCAGCACTCCGATAAGTACTAGATCATTGTCTAACCTGACTCATCGACTCAGCCGGACCTAAAGCGAGCACCAGGTCACTGGCTATTGACTGAGACCCATGGTGAGTATTAGATATCTATTGATTCAGCCGGCCCCATGGTGAGTACAATGTCACTGACCATTGACTCAGCACCTAGGCCCCCATGGTGAGTACAATGTCACTATTGACTCAGCAGCTAGGCCCATGGTGACTGTTCTTTGAAAGTCAAACATTTTCCAGAGTCACGTAATCCACCTCCCCAACGACAACGAGATTATAATTAGAAACTCCCCAGAATACATGATCACAGCACGCTCCCTCTCTCACGGTGAAGCTGAGTTAAGATGAGCATCCTTCCTGGCCTGAGATGAGCATCTCTCCCTGGGTGGTGATGATCATGTCTCACTGGGAGGTGATATGAGCACCTCTACCAGGGTTGTTAAGAGCATCTTTTTGGGTTGAGATCAATCGACTTAATAATGGTCCTGGACGGACGGACACGTCGTCGTCCCTTCACATTCTAGTGTGTGGTCTGATCATCATATCTTCAGCTACGTTATTGTGACTCATTGTCTGCATTAAGTGTTGACAGCTGTGAGAGTCATAAGGAAGTGTGTTCAGGGAAGTGTTAAGTGTTGACAGCTGTGACAGTCATAAGGAAGTGTGTTCAGGGAAGTGTTAAGTGTTGACAGCTGTGAGAGTCATAAGGAAGTGTGTTCAGGGAAGTGTTAAGTGTTGACAGCTGTGACAGTCATTGGTAAGTCATAAGTAAGTCAGCGGACAACATACAGTGCTAAAGACTCCTGTGTGTTATGACATAGAGGTTATGTGCACTACCATAACCCCGCTATAGTAAAGGCGGAGTTCTTATCATAACTCAGAAGATTTCGAACTTTAATTAACGAACCTGTAATAAACGTACTGAGTAATATAAATTAATAACTACCGTATTACTAATAATAGTTCTGGGTTCTCGTCAAGGGCCACATGTGAAGGTCTTAGACAACATGCAAGACGGGGCCCACACATCTGGTGAGAACCACACCTGCTCCACCCGCCCCAATGTTTAGTGTCCAGACTCTTCAACACTGAAGGGTTAATTATGGCTGGCTGGTGTGGGGTTTATCCCCCACAAGGCAGCACCCACACTTATCTTCTCTACAATTCCCTCTCACAAGGAAGGACCCACATTGGACCCAAATCAAGGGTCCCGAGTGCTTCCAAGGCCAAGGTCAGGGGGTTTCGAGTGCCTCCAAGGCCCAGGTCAGGGGTTCACGAGTGCCTCCAAGGCTCAGGTCAGGGGTCCCAAGTGCCTCCAAGGCCCAGGTCAGGGGTCCCAAGTGCCTCCAAGGCCCAGGTCAGTGGTCCCAAGGGCCTCCAAGGCCCAGATCAGGGGTCCCAAGGGCCTCCAAGGCCCAGGTCAGGGGTCCCGAGTGCCTCCAAGGCCCAGGTCAGGGGTCCCAAGTGCCTCCAAGGCCCAGGTCAGGGGTCCCGAGTGCCTCCAAGGCCCAGGTCAGGGGTCCCGAGTGCCTCCAAGGCCCAGGTCAAGGGTCCCGAGTGCCTCCAAGGCCCAGGTCAGGGGTCCCGAGTGCCTCCAAGACCACGGTAAGGCGCCCGTGATCAATTAAGGGATTTCAAACTTCCCCAAAACTGAGTTTTTGTGAAAGTTGTTTATTAATTCATGCCAATTTTTTATGGAAACAAGCAAATTGGGACGTACCTTGGAATTAGAAGTTTGTCCATCGATGAGCTGTTTGAAATTACCTGTAAAAACATGAAGGTGAATTATTCTTAAGAATTAATGAAGTCTTTGTAACATTAAATTCTCAAATAGCTAAATAAATTATCACATTTTTTCCATACATACATAAGCAGCTCAGGTGAATGTGACACTTCAGGATCGAGGTGGTTCCTACCTTTATCTGAAGGACGAGGGCTTTGGGGCACCTTGTCTAGCGAGGCCAGACAGGTGTTCAATGACAACACAGCCTGCGTCACACTCCACCTGCGTCATGCTCCTCCTGCGTCACGCTCCACCTGCGTCACGCTCCACCTACGTCATGCTCCACCTGTGTCATGCTCGTACTCTCAAAACCTGTGGTTTTCAGTTAGGATATGTTATGCAACATTCATGAATGTTTCAAAACATCTGAAACACACCACTGGACGAGGAAGTGGAGCAGTCGACGTGTCCGTAACACCATGACAGAAACAAGAAGTTGTCTGGTATTTTCTACACAACACTGAACACTTATAAGTCAACACAATCACGCACAATAAGGACATTTTCTGCCTTCATGTCTAACTTAACTTTTCACTTACACCTCAAATGTAACTTTAAGGATCTTGCTAAACAAAAGTAATTAAAGTATACTTATATAGCGAGACTTGTCCAGTCATAACAACAATGGGCACTTTTATTGATGCTTCTGTCATTCAACACACGCTTCACTAGTTGGTGTCGGGCTTAAGCCTATCAACCTCTGGAAGGGTTAAGACCACCTCAACTGTTTACTGACCAACAAGCAAGTACACTGCAGCCCTCAACTTAGGACTAAAGGAAACTCACTGTACAAACACCTAGAAATGGTGTACACATCTTGGTGTACATACACCACAGGTCACATCCGTCACTATCTATACCTCAGGCAACCCGTCCTCGACTCAAGTGCATTACATTCAGCGGTCAACCCCACAGACGCATTCATAAATTTTAACATGCTGTTCATTCAAAACAGGAATTTTCTCAAGTATAAATTAATATTATAATATATATTAGCATATTGTGTATATATAGGCATAGGATAGGTTAGGTTAGGTGTTTAGGTTCTGTTGGCGATCATTTGTATTTGTAGTACGTGGGTGAAGCATTTATAGCGTTGTGATTCGAACAAAATTCGTCAGTGAAGCACTTGTTCCGGATATGTTCGAACGTTATCAGTTGTGAGTCGTGTGTAAACCGCTTTTCATTCATAAACAGGCGGTTTGGTGGGTGGATGGAATCACTTTTGGATCTTTGTTTGGAGGACGGGCTGCATCCACACGACCCGTTAATGAAGCTGTTCGAAGCCTCGTGGCATTCATCACAGCCCGCCCTCCAGACAAAGACCCAAATGTGATTCCATCCACCCGCCAAACCCCCCACTGTTTATGAATGAAAAACGGTTTACACACGACACACAACTGCTGACGTTCGAACATATCCGGAACAAGTGCTTCACTGACGAATTTTGTTCGAATCACAACGCTATAAATGCTTCACCCACGTACTACAAATACAAATAATCGCCAACAGAACCTAAACACCTAACCTAACCTATGCCTATATATGCACAACATGCCAATATATTATAATATTAATTTATACTTGAGAAAATTCCCGTTTCGAATGAACAGCATGTTAAAATTTATGAATGCGTCTGTGGGGTCGACCGCTGAATGTAATGGACTTGAGTCGAGGACGGGTTGCCTGAGGTATAGATAGTGACGGATGTGACCTGTGGGGTATGTACACCAAGATGTGTACACCATTTCTAGGTGTTTATACAGTGAGTTTCCTTTAGTCCTGTGTTGAGGGCTGTAGTGTACTTGCTTGTTGGTTAGTAAACAGTTGATGTGGTCTTAATAACCCTTCCAGAGGTTGATAGGCTTAAGCCCGACACCAACTAGTGAAGCGTGTGTTAAGTGACAGAAACATCAACAGTGTTCCTGAAGAACAAAACGAACATGTGTTCGGCCAAAGTGAGTTATATAGACAGGATGTTCACTAAAGATGAACTGTTATCACTTGTTATTGTGGCGCGGGAACTTTAATTCCTTGTTTCATGTCTAGCAAGATCCTAAAAAGTGTCCATCGTTGTTATGACTGGACAAGTCTCGCTATATAAGTATACTTTAATTACTTTTGTTTAGCAAGATCCTTAAAGTTACATATGAGGTGTAAGTGAAAAGTTAAGTTAGACATGAAGGCAGAAAATGTCCTTATTGTGCGTGATTGTGTTGACTTGTAAGTGTTCAGTGTTGACTTATAAGTGTTCAGTGTTGTGTAGAAAATACCAGACAACAGCTTGTTTCTGTCGTGATGTTACGGACACGTCGAAAGCTCCAGTTCCTCGTCCAGTGTTTCTTGTCCAGTGTTGTGTTTCAGATGTTTTGAAACATTCATGTATGTTGCATAACATATCCTAACTGAAAACCACAGTTTTGAGAGTACGAGCGTGATGCAGGTGGAGCGTGACGCAAGTGGAGCGTGACGCAAGTGGAGCGTGACGCAGGTGAAGCGTGACGCAGGCTGTGTTGTCATTCAACACCTGTCTGGCCTCGCTAGACAAGGTGCCCCAACGCCCTCGTCCTTCAGATAAAGGTAGGAACCACCTCGACCCTAAAGTGTCACATTCACCTGAGCTGTTTATGCATGTATGGAAAAAATGTGATAATTTATTTAGCTATTTGAGAATTTAATGTTACAAAGACTTCATTAATTCTTAAGAATAATTCACCTTCATGTTTTTACAGGTAATTTCAAGCAGCTCATCGATGGACAAACTTCTAATTCCAAGGTACGTCCCAATTTACTTGTTTCCATAAAAAATTGGCATGAATTAATAAACAACTTACACAAAAACGCAGTTTTGGGGAAGTTTGAAATCCCTTAATTGATCACGGGCGCAAGGGCGCCTTACCTTGACCTTACTCACGGGCGCAAGGGCGCCCGAGGGCCTCCAAGGGTCTTGGAAGCCCTCGGGATCCCTGACCTTGGAGGCACTCGGGACCCCTGACCTGGGTCTTGGAGGCACTCGGGACCCCTGGCCTGGGCCTTGGAGGCACTCGGGGGCCCCTGGCCTTGGAGGCACTCGGGGACCCCTGGCCTGGGCCTTGGAGGCACTCGGGGGACCCCTGGCCTGGGCCTTGGAGGCACTCGGGGATTCCTGGCCTTGGAGACACTCGGGGACCCCTGACCTGGGCCTTGGAGACACTCGGGGACCCCTGACCTAGGCCTTGGAGGCACTCGGGGACCCCTGACCTGGGCCTTGGAGGCACTCGGGGACCCCTGGTCGGGGCCTTGGAGGCACTCAGGGACACCTGGCCGGGGCCTTGGAGGCACTCGGGGACCCCTGACCTGGGGCTTGAAGGCACTTGGGGACCCCTGATCGAGTACAGAGATAAGGAGGCCACATTCCTCAGCTCTAGTAGCAAAATTATCGAGCAGAACTTGCATTCTCGGCTCGGAGGTAGCCTGTAAACATATATCATCAGCATAACAAATGACAGTGTCTTCATTATTAGATGAAAGATCTTTAATAAGGTTCATCAGAACGTTGAACAACAAGGGGCTGAGGACCCCTCTTTGTGGAGTTCCCAGTTCAAAGTGTTTGCGCTCTGTGCTTTTAACACCATTAAACAAAACATATGCTGTTCGATTAGACAAATAGCCCTTTATCCATTTCAGAAATTTTCCTTGTATTCCCAGCTCGGCAAGCTGTTCTAGTATGATTTCCCTGTTTGCTGTATCAAACGCTGCTGCTAGGTCGATGAAGTCTGCTTGAGGGGAAGCTTCAATTCAGCAAAACAGTGTTGTGTACTGAGCCCAGGCATAAATCCAAACAGTTGGGGTGACAGGTGCCCCTGTATACGATACATGAGTCGGTTAAGGACAATGCGGTTCAAGCACTTTACAAACACACGACGTTAGAGATATGGGTCTATAATTATCTGAGTGTGGTTTGGGGATGGGAACAATGACACTCTTTGTCCAAGCATCAGATAATACTCCATCACGTAAACTCATTCTGTACAACACTAAAAATGGATTTTCTAGTACTTGTGAGACTAATCTCAGTAAATTGTAAGTAATACCGTCCTCTTCAGGAGCAGTTGATTTACCCATCTATAGTGCATGATTTAATTCCATTCAGTTACATCATTAAGGTCCGACACGTCGATAGCTGTACAGGCAAGATTGATGGTTCGTTGTCTGTTAGGGCGTGTCATCAAGTTTGTTCTGTATGCTAATTGGGAGCGAATTATAGCTTGATGTTAGTGCCCATTGATCAAGGAGAATGTTTGCTTGTTCTAGTGGGCTGTGGTTAAGTTGGGCTGCTTCTAAGAGATCTTTCATATCTTTTCCCAAACTTCAGCAAGTGATGTTTGCTTGTTTATACTTTGTAGAAACTCTTCCCATTGTTTATTTCGTATAACGTTGCTCGTGTCTCTCGCCCCTCTATCTGCGACAAGAAATAAGTGCAAATCAACTTGTGTACTTTGGCTCATTTGTATGTATCTTCAAGTTACCGTTCTACATCTCATCTCTAGTAAAAACTAAAATCAATCAATTTAAGCTTCTTTGCCTTAATTCAATAATCGACATAATGATTTCAGGAGAATTCTCGGCTGTGGCCCTATTTGCCAAACTTAGTTATTAGAAAAACAACAGGTCAACTCTTAACTGTTGCATTCATTGAACATCTTTTTGAGTTCCGGCTCATATCCACTGCCTTAGTTTTCTCTTTCAACTTTTTTTATAAACAGTACCAGTTCCCAATATTATAAATATCTTTATTTCAGACTTAGCCAAATATATAATAATATAATTACCAAGCTCTGGCTCATGTCCTCCATCTTAGTTCGCTCGTATAACATTGCCACAATGAGGTCAATTTCCACGAAATTTAAAACCGCAATATATCTGACGTAGTAAACGAGATAATAATAGTTAATAAGCTCTAGCTCCCGTGCCTGCCTTAGTTCACTTCTATAACTTTGCAATTTACAGATCAGTTTCCCTAAGATTTAAAAACATGTATTGTGTGCACAGTATACTAAAACAAAAGAGATGACAATCTCCAGATCTTTTAGTCACCCCTAGTTGTTTCTCATAATTTTGTTAACAGATCAATTTCCAACACATTTAGAACATAGTTATTTCCGACATAGTAAAACCTAAACGTTGATGATAGTAGCATAGCTGATGGTACCATGTATTGTAGTAAAGTGGCTGATAGCGCTGTGGCTGGTGAAGTAGTAATGACAACGTAGCTGAAATTGGCGGTTTTGGGCCCCAGTTTCAGCTACGCTGCCACCTTAAAAATTGTAAAGGACCTATCCTGAAGAAGGTTTAGCTATGCTGCCACCTGTTTAAGGGTTAATTTTTTTCAGCGTTCAAAATTTCTGCTTTGGACTTAGATTTATCATAGAATAAAAATTCCTCATTGTGATCTTAATAATTTCTTTTTTGAAAAAATACTCTTTGCCATGTTAAGGAATTCTTATGTAGAAAATATGCACGCTCTCCTATGTTTTTTTTAATCATATCAATTCCATTTTCAGACAATATGATCAGTAAGCATATTCCCCAACTAAAATTATAATTCCTAAACCAGACTCCCTCATACCCTCACACCAACTTTCTCCACCCATATCTCATCACCACTCTTATCTGTGTCCCTCCCTACGATTTCACGTTTTAATTATCTGCCTTATGATCAATTTTTGCACTCACTACTTCCCCCTAACCTCTCTTTACCCCCTTCTCAGCTTTGTTCGCACAAAAATGAAAATGTATTCACATCTCTGTCACTTTTTAATTAGTCTCTTATTACCGTTCTACATGTCATCTCTAGTAAAAATAAAAATCAATTAATTTTAGTTTCTTTGAGTTAATTCAATAATCGACAGTGATTTCAGGACAACTCTCGGCTGTGGCCCTATTTCCATATTTGCCAAACATAGTTATTAGAAAAACAGGTCAACTCTTAACTGTTCCCTTCACTAAACATCTTTAAGAGTTCCAATACATGTCCACTGCCTTAGTTTTCTTTTTCAACTTTTTTATTAACAGTACCAGTTCCCAACATTAAATATCTTTATTTCGGACTTAGCAAAAATATAAAAATTTAATTACCGAGCTCTAGCTCATGTCCTCCATCTTAGTTCGCTCTTCTAACATTGCCATAATGAGGTCAATTTTCACGAAATTTAAAATCGCTATATATCTGACGTAGTAAAGGAGATATAGTTAATTTATAATCTCTAGCTCCTATGCCTGCCTTAGTTCACTCCCATAACTTTGCTATTTACAGATCAGTTTTCTTAAGATTTAATAACATGTAATCTGAGCACAGTATACTAAAACAAAGGAGATGACAATCTCCAGATCTTTTAGCACCCTCAGTTGTTTCTCAAAACTGTTAACAGATCAATTTCCTGCACATTTAGAACATAGTTACTATTGACAATGTAAAATTAATCGATGTGCAATAGCTGGTGGTGTCGTTAGTATTATTACTGGTGGTACCATTACTGATATTACCGTGGATTGTAGTTAAGTGGCTGTCAGTGTCGTGGCACGAGAAGTAGAAATGACAACGTAGCTGAAATTGGCGGTTTTGGGCCCCATTTTCAGCTACGCTGCCACCTTAAAACTTGTAGAGGACCCATCCTGAAGAAGGTTTAGCTATGCTGCCACCTGTTTTAGGGTAAATTTTTTTTAGCATCCCAACTCTTTGCTGTGGACTTAGATTTATCATAGAATAAAAATTCCTCATTGTGATCTTAATAATTTGTTTTTTGAAAAAAATACTCTTTGCCATGTTAAGGAATTCTTATGTAGGCAATATACACGCTCTCCTATATTGTTTTTTAATTATATGAATTCCATTTTCAGACAATATGATCGGTAAGAGTTTGTGAGGATATTCCCCATCTAAAATTATAATTCTTAAACATGACTCCCCCATACCCTCGCACCACCTTTCTCCGCCCACATCTCATCACTACTCACAACTCTGTCCCTCCCTACGATTTCATAGCTTTAATTATCTGCTTTATGATCAATTTTTGCACTCACTACATAACCCTAACCTCTCTATACACCCTTCTCAGCTTCGTTCAAAAAAAAAAAAAAATATTCACATGTCACTTATTAATTATTCTCTTGTTACCGTTCTACATCTCATCTCTAGTAAAAACTAAAATCAATCAATTTAAGCTTCTTTGCCTTAATTCAATAATCGACATAATGATTTCAGGAGAAATCTCGGCTGTGGCCCTATTTCCATATTTGCCAAACTTAGTTATTAGAAAAACAACAGGTCAACTCTTAACTGTTGCATTCATTGAACATCTTTTTGAGTTCCGGCTCATATCCACTGCCTTAGTTTTCTCTTTCAACTTTTTTATTAACAGTACCAGTTCCCAATATTATAAATATCTTTATTTCAGACTTAGCCAAATATATAATAATATAATTACCAAGCTCTGTCTCATGTCCTCCATCTTAGTTCGCTCATATAACATTGCCACAACAAGGTCCATTTCCACGAAATTTAAAACTGCAATATATCTGACGTACTAAACGAGATAATATTAGTTAATAAGCTCTAGCTCCTGTGCCTGCCTTAGTTCACTCCTATAACTTTGCAATTTACAGATCAGTTTCCATAAGATTTAAAAACATGTATTGTGTGCACAGTATACTAAAACAAGAAGAGATGACAATCTCCATATCTTTTAGTCACCCCTAGTTGTTTCTCATAATTTTGTTAACAGATCAATTTCCAAC